GCTGCTAGTGTTTCAGCTAAGAATCTGCTGTTATTCTCATGGTTTTGTCTATGTAAGTAACTTGGTACAAGTGTATACCAAGCTTCATAAAACAAACACTACAGGACATAAGGGGACATAAGAAAAGTCAGTGACTCCAACACCCTACTCTCATCAATAGATAGGTCAACAAACTTTACAGTGAAATTGCACCATACTATGAAGGGACTCAACAAACATCTACAGCAGCCTATGGAACTTTCTCAAAATAGATCACATTTTTGGCCACAAAGCAAGGGGCTGTTTTTGTTTTTGGTGGTACTGGGGTTTGAACTTGCTAGGCATGTACTCCACCATTTGATTCACACCTCCAGTCCAAGCAAGTGTTAACAAATACAAAAAAAAAAAAAAAAAAAAACTCACCAAATTGAAATAACTTCTTGGATTATAATGGAGTAAAATCAGAAAAACGTGGCATGAGGAACTACAGAAACTATACAAACAAATGGAGATTGCGTAATACACTTTTGAATGATCAGAGAATCATTGAAGAAATCAAAATCAGGAAGTACATTTAAAAATTCCTAGAATCAAATGAAAATGAAAAACAATTTTCCAGAACCTTTGGGGTATAGCAGAGGCAATTCTAAGAGGGAAGTTTGTAGTTATGACTGCCTTACATTAAAAATCAGAGAGGGCTGGCATAATGGCTCAAGTGGTAAAGTACCTGCTTAGCAAGCATGGCCCTGAGTTCAACCTCCAGTACTTAAAAAACAAATAAAATAAAAAATCAAATTTCAAATAACCTAATGACGCACCTCAAACTCTTAGAAAAACAAGAATTAATCCCCAAAGTAGTCGATCAAAAGAAGTATCGGGCAGAAATTAATAGAATAGAAACTAAAAGAACTACTGTTACTTCAAAGGGCTGGGTGAGGTGGTTCATGCCTGTAACCCTAGCTACTCAGGAGGTAGATATGGGTTGGATCAAGGTTCAAGGCCAGCCTGAGAAAAAAATCCACAAGATCCCCCATCTCAAATAAAAACTTAGGGAGAAGGGAAATAGTAATATAGTGGTGTGTGTGTGTGTGTGTGAACTTGATCAAGGTATACTTTATGCATGTATGGAATTAATCACAATGAAATCCCTCATTATTTTTTGGCAGCACTGGGGTTTTAACTTGGGGCCTCACACTTACTAGGCATGCGCTCTTACTGCTTGAGCCATCCTGCCAGTCATTTTTTTTGTGATGGATTTTTTTCAAGATGATAGGGTCTTCGAACTATTTGCCCTGGCTGGCTTCAAACCAAGATACTTCTGATCTCTGCCTCCTGAGTAGCTAGGATTACAGTTGTGAACCACCAGCACCCGGACCCTGCATATTATTAATGGATGACAAAAAAAAAAAAAAAAAAACCAAAAAAACAACTGGGCACAATGGTGCATTCCTGTCATCCCACCTACATGGAAAGCATAAAGAAGATCATTGGTTCAGGCCAGCCTGGGCATAAAGCAAGACAGGAATGCTCAGAAACATATGAAGGAAATCAGAAATGCAATGCATTGTGAGAAATGTGGAAAAGCTTTTACTTATCCAGTAACTTTCAAAGACATAATGAAATCACAGCAGGGAAAGCCTTATGTATGTAAGAAATGTGGGAAAGTCTTCACTTGTTCTGGTTTCCTTCAGAAACATGAAAGGACTCACTCTACTGAGAACTCCTCAGTATACAATGTGGGAAGGCCTCGTTATCATATGATCTTTCTAGCAAACATGACAACACATAGGGAAATAATGTGAAGTGTGCCAAAGCCTCTTATCATCTTTGTTGAATTCACAAGCAAAAGAGCGTAATATAGTGAGAAATCCTAAATAAAGGGATGTACAAAAACATGACACACAATGACCAAGAATGGTTTCATTCCAGAGATGCAATGATGGCTTAACATATGCAAATCAATAAATAACAGTGTATAATACAGCACATAAGTAGAATCAAGGACCAAAAAAAAAATCACATGATTATCTCAATAGATGCAGAAAAGGTCTCTGACAAAATTCAACATCCCTTCATGATAAAATTCTAAGGAAACTAGGAATAGAAGGATCATACCTACACATAATAAAGGCTATATATGACAAATCTATCACTAACATTATACTGAGTGGGAAAAAACTGGAAGCATTTCCTCTAAAATAAGGAATAAAACAAGGGTGTCTACTATCTCCACTTTTATTCAACGTAGCACTTGAATTCCTAGCCAGAGCAATAAAAGGCAAGAAAAAGAAAAGGAGACTGGGTGCAGTGGCTCGTGACTATAATGCTAGCTGCTTGGGAGGCAGAGATAATGAGGTTTGTGGTTTGAGGGCAGCCCAGGCAAAAAAGTTAGTGAACCCTATTTCAATCAGTAAGATGGGCATGATGGTTCATGCCTGTGATCCCAGCTATGCAGGAGGCCTTAAATAGAAGGATCATGGTCTGAGCCTAGCCCAGGACAAACACAAAATCCCTCCCTGAAAAACAAGAAAAGCAAAAGACGGACTGGGAATATTCTCAAGTGGTAGATACAGTGCCCGCCTAGCGAGCGTAAACCCAAGAGCAAATTGCACTTTCACCAAAGAAAAAAGTAAAAGGGATACAAATAGGAAGGAAAAATTCAAATTATCCCTATTTGTAGACGATAATGATCCTATACATAAGACTTTAAAGATTCCAACTGAAAACTTAGACCTAATAAATATTTTCAGCAGAGTAGCAATATATAAAGAATTGGTAGCTTTTCTATATACCAATAATGAGCATGCTGAGAAAAAGATAAAGAATACAACCCCATTCACAATAGCCTAAATAAATAAACAAACTCAGAATAAATCTAATCAAGGAAGTGAAAGACCTCTACAATGAAAACTAAAACACTAAAGAAAGAATCTGAAGAAATCCCATGTTCATGGATAGGCAGAATTAGTATTGTGAAAATAGCTGTATTACTGAAAGGGATCTACAGGTTCAATGCTATCCCTATTAAAATTCCAATGGCAGCCTTTCGGTGGTGGCTCGAGAGCAGAGTCCGAGCTGTGATGGCGCAAGTCATGGCAGGAAAAGCATTTAGAAAGTTTCTTCCGCTGTTTGACCGAGTATTGGTAGAAAGGAATGCAGCCAAAACGGTGACTAAAGGTGGCATTATGCTTCCAGAAAAATCTCAAGGAAAAGTGTTGCAAGCAGCAGTAGTGGCCGTGGGATCAGGCTCTAAGGAAAGGATGGAGAGATCCAACCTGTTAGTGTACAAGTTGGAGATAAAGTTCTTCTGCCAGAATATGGAGGCACCAAAGTAGTTCTAGATGTCAAGGATTATTTCTTATTTAGAGATGGTGACATTCTTGGAAAGTACGTAGACTGAAATCACTGAGATGGCATCACATGAAGCTGCCCATTCCACTGACATCCTGAAATCTTTCATCATGTAAGTAATTTCCATGTGTCTCCCTTTTATAATAAACCAATGATACCAAAAAAAATTCCAATGAAATTCTTCACCTAAAATTCATATGGCAGCACAAAAGACTTCAAGTAGCCAGAGCAATCCTAAAAAGAGCATGTTAGAGATATAGAGTCACAGCATGGTACTGGCACAAAAACAGATATGTAGACCAGTGGAATAGAACAGAGGACCCTAGCAGCTAAAGCCACCAGATTCTTGGCAAAGGTACCAAAAGTATACATTGGAGAAAAGATAAGACTCTTCAACAAATGGTACTGGGAAAACTGGATATCCACATATAGTTTCATATAAATCTAGTCTCAGTCTCACCCGATCTCACCCTGTACAAAAAATAAATTCAAAATGGATCAAAGACTTAAATGTAAGACCTAAAGCTTTGAAATTACTAGGGGAAAACACTTCAAGATACATACATAGGCAGCAACTTTCTGAATAGGACATTAATTGCTCAAGAAATAAAAGCAAGAAATAACAAGTGGGATTGCATTAAAATAAAAAGCTTTGCAGCAGAGGAAACAATTATCAAAATCAAGAGACAGCAAACAGAATGGGAAAAAACCTTTGCTGGGTATTAATTAAAGGATTACTATTCCAAGATATATAAAGAGCTCCAAAACTTAAACAACAATAAAAGTGCAAACAATTCAATTAATAAATGGGTGAACGAATTGGACAGTCCTCAGAAAAAGTACAAATAATAAACACATGAAGAATAGTCAACATCCTGAGTTACAATGGAAATACAAATCAAAACAACACCGAGATTCTAACTCACTCCAGTCAGAATGGCTCTCATCAGAAAAACAAATGACAACAAATGCTGGTAAGGATGTGGGGGAAAAGGGGACTCTTACACACTGTTGATGGAAACATACATTAGTTCAGCCACTATGGAAATCAGTAAGAAGGGTCCTCAAGAAACTAAAAATAGAACTGGTATACACCCAAAGGAATGTAAGTCAGCACAAAATAGAGATACCTGCACACTCATGTTAATTTTAGCACTAACTACAATAGACAAGGGATTGGCCTAGGTGCCCATTGACAAAAGTATTAATAAAGAAAATCTGGCATATATACATAATGGAGTTTTATTCAGTCATAAGGAACAAAACGTTTGCCAGAAAACAGATGGAACTGGAGGTGATAATGTTAAGTGAAATAAGCTAGACTCAGAAAGACAAATATAGCTTGATTTCTCTCTTACACGGAATATACATTTAAAAAAAAGTCATGAAAGTAGACAGGGATATTTGGAAGAGGAAAGGGGCCAGAGGGAGAAGGGACAAGAAAAGGTATGGGTGAATATGATCAAATAACATTACATACATGTACGAAAATATAATAAAATCCATTATTTTGTACAATTCATATAAATCAATAACAATGAATTTTAAGTAGCACACACAAAAAAATGAATGAATGAATGAAAAAAGAAGCTGGACTGAAGGCTAAGGATCAAGAGTTCAAGGCCAGCCCCTCTCCCAGTGGTCCTGGGAAAAGAAAGCAGCCCTCTTACCTCTATGGGGATGTAAAGCATGAACCCTGGCTCTCCTGTGTGAGTCACGCTCATCACCCGGATCCCATTTGCGTAGCCCACACTCATCTCCTGTAGAGACAGAGAAAGCGGTCAGTGGAAGAGGGCACTCACACACTCTAGTCAAGGGAATTAATTGAGAGGAACATTCATTGGTGTCCTACCCTTTGCTTAGCCCTAAGGGAGATACATGTCTAGGAAAGCATTTCATCCTAAAAATGGAGCACAGTCTTCACATGTCTTCTCATGAATATCACCATTTCCAGAGTTTTAGTCAAGCCAAAGGTAGGAACTGGTGGCACAGTCTTGGTTAAGCACAGAATATTCCTCTTTACCAAGTCTTACTGAAGACTTGGGTTAGCTGGGGGTATATGGAGCAATGAAGACTAGGCACATTTCTTCTCCAGGGGACACTGCAGACAAATGCTGGGCACATGCCACACAAAAAATGATGCCTGATGTCCACAGAACAAAATTCATCTGCTACCCTGGGATTAAAGATCCAGCTTCTAATTTTCAAAACATGTTACAACAGGTCAGTTACCTACTTGGGTCACTGACTTAAATTGCTGCCATATAAAGGAAAGTGGTAAGCTTCAGCGCTGAAACACACAACTGCCATTGGAAGCTTGACATGATGCGGCACTCTCCAGGCATAAGAGAGAACAGTGAAGGGCTCTGCTGATGGCTAACATGGAGAATTTCCTGTTGCTTTCTTTACCTCAGAGAAGAGGGAAAACTGTGAAACAGTTTTTCATTAGAGCCCAACTTTGGCTTGAACTTCAAAGAACCTCCATCAGAAACTGTTCAGCAGCTGCCAGGTTATAGTTTGCCAAAATGTCTGGACCTCTCTAAGTAGCTGTTTCCTAAAAAATACTCAGTTATCATTGCTTTGACTCAGTTAAAATTTGTGTCTGTCAGCTACAGAGACCATTTCCAGGAAAAAATTTATGTTAATTGTTTAGGGATTTATTTCTCTCCCAAAATGCATGTAAGTACTCTGTGTGTGAAAAAGAATCAAAACCAGGGAGAAAGAATCCGACCTCCTAGGACACCGGTGGCTTATACCATACTAGCTACTCAGGAGGCAGCGATCAGAAGGATAGTAGTTTGAAGCTAGCCTATGCAAATAGTTTGTGGGATCCTATCTCAAAAATACCCAACACAAAAAAAGGGCTGGTAAAGTGGCTCAAATGGTAGAGTACCTGCCTACCATGCATGAAGCCCTGAGTTCAAATCCCCACACACACAAAAAAAATCTGATCTCAGAGGGCACCTTTTGCTGTCAACTGAAATTAAAATAACTAAGATATTCTAATGCTTACTAAATAAAAGCTTGAAAAGTAAAAAAAATAAATTTAATTGGTTGCTTTATTTGCTTAATAAAGGTCTAAACACTGTGCTCATGCCACAGCAACATTATTCATCTGTCACAACTATGAAAGAAAAATTCTCTGCCTATTTAAAAAACAGAATTTTGGTGCAAGAAGTGTGGCTCAAATGGTTGAGCACCTGTCTAGCAAGTGCAAGGCCTTCAGTTCAAACTCCAATACCGCCAAAAAAACAAACAAAACCAAAACAGAACTTTGCTAGCACCCACCTTGCAGAAGAGAGTTGGGAAGTGGTCTGGAGTCATAGGGGCATAGGACAACTCGGACAGCACATCCACAGCTCGAGGGCCAATCAGATTGAGGGCTACAGGGAAAAGAACAAGAAATGTCTAGCCTCGCCAGGGTAACAGCTGAGCCAATGGGAAAGGGCTGGTGTGAACTTGCTCACCTAGGTCCAGACCTGGGTAGTTACGACCACAAAAGTGTCCCTTTTCTTATGCAATCCAAGGATGGATGCCAAGGACACACACCATTGTTTACAGGCCTGCTGAATGCAGCTACTAACTGTGCTGGAGTAAGTCTGACCAGTATGGTTCCTCCCCCGGTTCACCAGGAAGACAGTTCTACAGCCTCCTCTGCAGTGGGAGTAGGGCCCTGGCCAATGGGACTCTTCCCGCTTTCCAGTGCGGCTAGAAGATAAATACAGCCTCAATCCCAAGTCAGTACCTGGAGGAAGCTGTCCATTCACCTGGGAACTGGTATCTGTGACAGCAGCTTATGCTAATTACACCTTAAGCACCTTAGTACAGGCTAGAAAACAACTTCTGTTAAGTAAGATTCTACAGTTTGACAACCTGGAAGCAAGAAGTCAGTTACTACTAATAACAAATTGAGATTGAGGACCAGGGAGAGTTAAACACTGGTGAGGTAAGGAGCAGGTATCACATGAGGAGGAGGGAAAGGTCAAACCCAGAATGGGGTAATAGAAGAGGTTGGGGACACATTCCCAACCGGACTGCTGAAGAAAAGATAACCAGGAAATTAAGTCATCATTATAGACTTATTTTTGGCAAACTTTTTTTTTGTGGTAGTAGAGTTTGAACTCAAGAGTTTCCCACTTGCCTCCAGTCCTAAAATTATATACTCATTTAAAAAAAGAAAAGGTAAGAGGAAATTTTGAAGAATATATTACATAAGTAATATAAAAAATTCTTTTAAAAATTATTTATTCGTTCATTTACAGGTATTTGTGCTCCTGCATACTAGCTGTTGTAGGGAGTATAATAAAGAACAAAATAAACAGAAACTGAAGCACTAACTCATTTTATGTTGCTAATAAAAAAGTGGTGATATATTAGAGATCCATTTTCTATAACCAGAAAGCCTCTTTGAAACTAATTCTGACATTCATTTTTTAAAGTCAAATATAGCTGGGCACTGGTGGCTCACGCCTGTAATCCTAGCTATTCAGGAGGCAGACATCAGAATGATAACAGTTCAAAGCCAGCCCTGGGCAAATAGTTTGAGAGACCTTATCTCAAAAATACCCATCACAAAAAGGGCTGTCAGAGTGCCTCAAGGTAAAGGCCCTGAGTTCAAGCCCTAATACTGCACAAAATAAATAAATAAATAAAGTCAAATATAAAGAAGGCTAATGTAGTTACATCTGGATCTGCTAGCTTTTTCTCACTTGGCTGAGCCCAGAATGTCCCATTACCGGTGTATTTCCAGCTGACATCCTCCAGCAGCAGGTTGCTGTCTTTTGGCATGTATTTTTTAAGCCAGGCCCAACAGTGGACCTGCTGGTCGGTTGGAGAGATCATGAAGAAACTGAAAATGAGACCCCAAAATAATCAAAACCAGGTAGCAGAAAAGAATCAAGCAGTAATTAGGGTTTCATCTAGCTTCAAAGCCTACTGGGAAATTATCTCTTAACTTTGCAAGAGAGTCAACAGCACCATTCTACAATATACCACGTAACAACAAAACAAAATTCTGCCTTCCTGTTAGTGCCAAGAAATTACGAAGACTTACTAACATGAGGTAAAAAATCCTCTTCCAACATTTTGGCTTGTATGCACGCTACTATCTTCATGACACTGGCACAATCATTACGTCTACCCTTAACAGAGACAGATGTGAATCTAAAACTGTGAGCTTCTCAGGTAAAACAGAGCAACTGATGCCACCCCTGTTAAAATACATTTTAAAGACCTCAAAGCTTTCCCTCACTAGAGACAATAAACTAAGGTTTAAAGCAAAGCAAGGATTATAAACTAGCAGCTATCAATTCACCATACTGTTTCTATAAATGGCAGGTATTTTCAGTAGACTTTATACATTTTCCTTAATGTTTTTAATGATTCTTCTTAAAAATCGTATTGGTTTTATCCACATAAACAACAACAAAACAATCTTTTTCTTTAAAAGATGGTTTTCACTAATTTCTGTTTAATTTCTCTTTTAGTAAAAAGTAACTGGATGTCTCCTGGTCCTGGCAACCCATCAACTAAATATCCTGCCAGCTCAATCTTCTTTGTCACCTCCTGGGTTTGAGAAAGAATGGGAATCTCAAATAAAGACCTCCATTTACTAGAGACCCTTAGATAGGCCTCTGTCAGAAGGCCTGACTGCTGTCCCCTTGCCTTCTCCCCCTCTCAGCAAAGAAGCAGTTAGAGCAGTAATCACTCATCTTCAGAGGGGGAAATGACAGGCATAAGCTTGGGACATAGGCAGCTAGGGTGAGGGGCAGAAGTGGCAACAGCACAGATCAAAGGGCAGCCAGAAGATAGAGAGTACAGACATGGCAACCCACACACATCTCTTAAGGAGCAGATACAAGATAAAGAAGGGGAAAAGGGAGTCGCAGCACACACATACATCTTTAAGAAACATAAAGGACAGAGAAGAGGGAGGAGGGAGTTACCTTGAAACAACACCCTGAAGAGAACAGATTAAAAAAAACCCTCAGATCATGTCATTTCTTGGGCACCCTCTCTTGGGACCCCCTGCCCCCCAACTCTGGGGGCTCTACTCTCCCACTTTACACTTTTCTATCTCAATAAACTCTCCCACTTCACACTTTTCTAACTCAATAAACTCTCCCCCTTTACACTTTCAAAGAAAAAAAAAAAGTCTTCTTAAACTAACTTAATCCCATTGATTCTTTACATACACACACCCCCATCCCCATTCTCTGCTAATTTCTTTGTTTAGGGCTGCTAATAAACTGACCACGAGTCTATGAAATGGTTTTTCAGTCTCTGGGATAAGTGTGGTCTCCAGGAGAACTAAACACATTAGGTGCTCTGCTCTGCTGACCCTGAACGAATCACTAAGGATGTGGTTCAAGTGACAGAGTGCTTGGAGGCTCTGAGTCCAATCCAGAACAAAACAAAACAAAAAACCCTTAAGGAATCAGCAGTTGGAGCAGAGCAGAACAGCAGCTGATCTCACCTGCGCTTGTTCAAGCGTGCAATGCTGCAGTCGTTTTCGTACCCTCCACCCTCATTGAGCATGCCGGTATGCACAATATGGCCCACAGGCACATCCAGGTCATTGGAAAAGAGGTACTGTAGAATTCCTAATGCTTGATCTCCAGTGGACTGCAGGGTAGAATGAAGTGGCACAATGAGCACAAGCGTGCCAAACTGGTAGTAGTCACCTAGCACTGTACCTTGCTGAGAAAGTTGAATAAGCCCACGCCCAAGAGACAGTATTTGCAGATTTACTCTCCTGCAAGAAGTTCCAGGAAAAACTATTAATTCTTATGATAAATGAACCTAAGGAAATTAAAAACCCATATGTAAGGAGCAAAGAATTCAGAAAAAAATGTGATTAATGCAGGTGAAACAGTGAAATATATCAGAATTCTCACAGAATCAGTTTCAAAGTGACAGATGAGAAACTGAAGACAGTCAAAAAACATGCAGTTTCCCAATCTGTTATTTTGGTTCCAAATACTTACTGTTATCTCAAACTTTGTGAAAGACGACATGTCAATGACACAAACAGCTTCCTTACAGCACTTGACTTCAGACTCCACAATGTCAAACCAATCTGGCTTGTAGAAAGTCTTGCTCTGCTCTAGTGGGAGGAGATCTACAGAACAGAGAAAACAAAAGGTGGAAAGAAAAAGAGGGGATTTATACTGAGGACTCTCCCCATATAATTTGATATAGCTTAGCAGGTTTTTATTATTTATTCTTCCAGAAACACATTCTAGCTATATGCAATTACAAATAAGTTTTATTACCAGTTAGAAGAAAAAAAAAGGGGGGGGGGTCAAAAATGAGCCTTCTTACCCTTGTCAGGTGGAACAAAGTACTTTGGCCTCTCAAATCCATGTTTCTCCATCCATCTGGCTCCTTGTGCATCCAGCCGGTCATAGAGAGGAGATGTGCGTAACTGCCTACCAGTCTGGAAGTCCCAACGGGGAACCTTCAGATCATACATCAGAGCTACAGCAGACAAGAATAGTCTATCAGGGCCAGAGCGCATACCTAGCTAAGCACGAAGCCGAGTTCAAACCCCAGTACTGCCAGAAAAAAAAAAAGTCTATAACAGCCTATCTCATAGATTTAAGAACTGAGTGACCAATATCCACTAGATTCTGCAGTCATTTTTATTCAAGAGAGCATAATTTGCAGGCTAATGTAGCTTAATTTGTCAAATATTACCCAGTGTAACAGGCCTGCTTCAGAAGCAAGGACCATGTTACCAGAGTTGGCATTATCCCTCTGTAAGTAGCTAATAGCTCATGGTTTCTGTTCACAATTAGAGTTTCAAATTAGTAGGCAGGAACAATGAGGAAGGTCATAGCTCTAAAACCTTGCTCAAGTCTACAGCAGAGAAGGATACAGGTGATAATAAAGTGAGAAAAAATGGTAACTTTTCTTTTTGCCTGTGTTGTTGGGACCTCAGACTTTTTACAGACATTTCATTTCTTAATATTTACCCCAATTTTGAAGTGAAAGGGTACACAGCATACTTTGATTTGGTGGCTCTGAAATCTGAGAGGTTGCATTGTACTGCCCCAATGACATTATTCACTTAACAAAGCAAAGGTCAGAATTCATTTCTTATACAGTCCAATCTGTGATATCAGTAAGTAAGAACAACCAGAACAAGTGTGAACTCGAATCTCTTCCAAAGAGAAGATTTGACCTCACTCCAAGCCTAAGGTACATCAGGGCCGGAGGAGGGATTGAGAGATGGAGGAGAAGGAAGCCACACTGAGTTCCTTGTATTGTGACAATTTGTCAACCTCCTCTGGTACTTTAGGTTCTATTTTCCTTTTCCCACTGTCTATCATGGCTACAGTTTCTATTTATGAGAATAAAAGAAGGCCACCAAAAGCATCACACAACCAAGGAGAAGCTCAAGCTCAATTATGTTTTGCACAGTTCTAAAGTCACTATGGGTGGAGAAATTAGACTTACTGTATATGCATAAAGTTAGCCCTAACAGTTAAACAAACTGCTGTTAGGCTACCTCATCTCCTAGTCTGCCACAAGCCAAAATTAGCACTCAGGCATTAAAAGCCATTCAAAGGCCTTACCATGAATGTTGTCTAGCTACTAAGCTAAAATGCATTTGTAACAAAGAACAGGGGAGACAGTCAATGTAGAAACTTAGTCCTGAGATAAATATGCTGAAAATATTTAGTAATCCTTTGACAAAGTTTGAGAAGTTTCTCAGAATAGGAAAATGAAATTACAGCCTGTGAGAACTCACAAACTTTGGATCAATTCCTGATACAAAAGCTGTTTCTAAGGGCTTACTGGAAAATAAAGATAAGGTAGAATAAAGAGTTAAAATGACAAGGCCAACTCTTCAAAGCTGGACGGAGGAAAGAACAAGGAGAAGAAATGTTTTGTACTAACATCAGAAGCAGTTTCTTAACTGACTAGCATGTGCTGAATTAATAATAAAAGTCACTCAGAAGGGCCTGAAACTTTGAGAAAACCTTGGCAAATCCTCTGCCTTAGAAAGAAAACAATGATTTTAAAACCCATTAAACTGGAAAGGAGGCATTGCTAGAAACACAGAGGAATCTGCTGCATACCACCAGTAAATATATTCTACTGTTCCTGTTCCTAGAAGTAAGCAAGGTACAATATACTAAAGAAAATCCACATGTATCACATGGGCATATGTCCTCTTACTCAGGCTTGAAACAGTCAAGCATCACAAGGCCAACTCCAAGCAGTTATTAAAGAACTAATGGTGAGAATAAAAAAAAAAATTAAGGAAAAATCTGCCCCTCTAAATTATAAAACAGGCCACTGGAAAGATATCTACAGCTAGACAGAATTGGAATAAAGCTTCACTTACGCATGACTTCCATGACCCGGTGGCGTAGAAAGGTCCGGCTGCTCTGGAGGGCTCCAAAGCGCTTCAAATCCAATGGCCAGACATTTTCTGAGGGATAGCCATGTACCATCCACTCAGCAAGATACCTGTTTAGACAGGAACAAAAAGTTATTGGGCCTCAGATGTGATACACAAGAATAAATCAAGCAATACTGTACAAATCAAGAACCAAGGGATTAAGTTGATACAAGAAAGAGTAGGAAATACTCTGGAGTTAGTAGGTATAGGTAAGAACTTTCTCAATGAAACCCCAGCAGCACAGCAACTAAGAGACAGCATAGATAAATGGGACCTCATAAAACTAAAAAGCTTCTGTTCATCAAAAGAAATGGTCTCTAAACTGAAGAGAACACCCACAGAGTGGGAGAAAATATTTGCCAATTATACATCAGACAAAGGACTGATAACCAGAATATACAGGGAACTTAAAAAACTAAATTCTCCCAAAACTAATGAACCAATAAAGAAGTGGGCATGTGAACTAAACAGAACTTTCTCAAAAGAAGAAATTCAAATGGCCAGAAAACACATGAAAAAATGCTCACCATCTCTAGCAATAAAGGAAATGCAAATTAAAACCACACTAAGATTCCACCTCACCCCTGTTAGAATAGCCATCATCAGCAACACCACCAACAACAGGTGTTGGCGAGGATGCGGGGAAAAAGGAACCCTCTTACACTGTTGTTGGGAATGTAGACTAGTACAATCACTCTGAAAAAAAATTTGGAGGCTACTTAAAAAGCTGGACATCGATCTACCATTTGATCCAGCAATACCACTCTTGGGGATATACCCAAAAGACTGTTACTCCAGAGGCACCTGCACATCCATGTTTATTGCGGCACTATTCACAATAGCCAAGTTATGGAAACAGCCAAGATGCCCCAGCACTGACGAATGGATTAAGAAAATGTGGTATCTATGCACAATGGAATTCTATGCAGCCATGAAGAAGAACGAAATGTTATTATTCGCTGGTAAATGGATGGAATTGGAGAACATCATTCTGAGTGAGGTTAGCCTGGCCCAAAAGACCAAAAATCGTATGTTCTCCCTCATATGTGGACATTAGATCAAGGGCAAACACAACAAGGGGATTGGACTATGAGCACATGATAAAAGCGAGAGCACACAAGGGAGGGGTGAGGATAGGTAAGACACCTAAAAAACTAGCTAGCATTTGTTGCCCTTAACGCAGAGAAACTAAAGCAGATACCTTAAAGCAACTGAGGCCAATAGGAAAAGGGGAACAGGCACTAGAGAAAAGGTTAGATCAAAAAGAATTAACCTAGAAGGTAACACCCACGCACAGGAAATCAATGTGAGTCAATGCCCTGTATAGCTATCCTTATCTCAACCAGCAAAACCCCTTGTTCCTTCCTATTACAGCTTATACTCTCTCTACGACAAAATTAGAGATAAGGGCAAAATAGTTTCTGCTGGGTATTGAGGGGGAGGAGCGGGAGGGGGTGGAGTGGGTGGGGGCAGGGGGGAGAAATGAACCAAGCCTTGTATGCACATATGAATAATAAAAGAAAAATGAAAAAAAAAAGAACCAAGGGAATTAAAAGATCCTATGTTGTCACAGACAGCTGAGCAAGTTGGGCAATTTCCTTAATTTTTCTGGACTACACAAACATGGATCCAAGTACTGTTCTCATAGAACCACCAAAAAAAAAAAAAATGACTACTCTAGGAAACTCACATAAGTGGGATCACAGTTTTTGTATCCCTTTTGTGACTGCCTTATTTTTTTATTGGTACCTAATTTTTTGGCAGTACTGGGGTTTGAACTCAGGGCTTCATTCTTGCTAGGAGGTGCTCTACCGTTTGAGCACCTCTAGCCCGGTACCTGATTTTTAACTAAAAATTTTTATTACCCAGCTGATCACTTTCCTTACTCACCATACTTGCCTACTTTTAAAATCACATATACACTTAAAGGACCAATATTTGTTATTGAAAAAGTACAAAAGATTATCTCACAGGTTGTGACTAACTCCACCCAAAATATTTTGCACAATGACATTTCTGAAATGTGGGGAAATCCTCCCATAATGAATACTTTGAAGAAGGTAACTCTCAAATTACATGTCTCTTCTTAACATTTGATTAAATATGTCACATAACATCTTAACAATAAGTAATGTGAGAAGGGAAAAAGCCCAGCAAGCTGATGTGTCCACAGCTGACATTGGGAGAAAGACTTACTTTCCAGCTCCTCCACCAAATGACAGGCCTGCAGAGTTCATCCCTGCCAGGACAAAGTAGCCCTGTACTATAGGAGACTCGCCCATGATGCACCTCATGTCTGGTGTGAAGGTCTCGGGGCAATTCACCAACTTCATGATCTCCAGAGTCTCCAATTCTGGCATCCTACGCAGGAGGGAACTCAACAGGGGCTCTGAGGAATCAAAACAAACCCAAACACAGTCTTCACCTTTAGGGAACTTAAAAACTTTCAAGCCCTTTTAAACTTCTTTATGCCCTCTCCTTTCAGAAAATCCTTTGGGAGAGATTTTTCTAAGAGCCAACTAGGCTACTTACCAGAAAACCAAAAAGCCTGCTGGAATCATAAGACACAACTGCAAAATGCTTGGTATAAAGCATGAGAAAAAAACATACTCTTTAGAAAGGAAAAGAGCTACAGAGTAACAAGTAATACACATGGCTACAGATAATTTTGAGAGGTCAGCATGAGTGGAAAAACTCTTAAATGGCACCTAAAGAAATTTCCATAGAAGGCACTGTTTTTCTACATTGATATAGGTGCAAAAGACAATAAATAAGTATTAAAATTCTTTTAAAATTGAATAAAAGACCACATTAATGAAATAGCTCAGCTTTCTAAAAAGGTCTTTGAGGGGCTGGCAGAATGGTTCAAGTGGTAGAATGCCTGCCTAGCAATTATGAGGCCCCGAGTTCAAACCCAGTACCACACACAAAAAAAAAAAAGCTCGATTTTATATAGTCTTATCAAAAGGAGATCTCATTCTAGCCTAAAATTTCAGCAATCATTCTAGGTGAATAACGAGCCAAGTCCAAGTCCATTAAATAAGACTTTAGTTTCCTGCATGTGATTAAGGAGCTACTCCTGAAAATGCTTTGGAAAATATAGTATCTTAGACAAATAGTATAACAAATTGTTATAATCTACTTAACACACCAAAATGATCCCAGTCTTCCTGCAGGTTCTGAATTTCCAGCTGATTCTTGCCTTCAGTGAAAATAGGTTTTGGGTTCTTCTCAAAGCCCCCAGACAATATGCCACCCTGCCAGTTCCGAATATAAATTCTTCCATCAGCATCCACAATAGCTGAGGAAAAGAAATAAGGGAGTGGGGAATAGAAGAAAAAAACAAAGAGTTTAGAGGCAAGCCAGCTTCCTAAATGGAGAAAAAGACATAAAACATCTATGAATGGCTTTACTAATGGAAGAGCATCTAATAAACATAGGCATCTGTTAGCCTATGGGAGAGATCTTCCCATTTAGATTTACAGAGAAGATAGTTTCTCTGATTCCAAATCTTAGTAGGAACCAGGAAGCTTTTTTAAGGCCTCACAACTGAACTACATGATTCTCACTGTGCCAACCCAAAGTCTAACGAGAAGGGGAATTGCAGAGCCCATTCTAGATATTAAGACCTCTAAAATCATATCTAACCCCTTTCTTACAGCACTTGAGCCACTAAACCACCCAAGTTTATGTTTTACCCATGACATTTCTATAACTGATAGCATTCAAGTTAAAAACTCAAAATTAACATACCAAATATTCTCAATGACCTCTATTTTGGACTACGTTAGTTTGCAAAACAAACAAAATATAAATTGCTTAATGGCATGCCTATTTTGGCCATCCTTTCCTAAGGAGTTTTCAAACTGGGTCCACCTCCCTGCAACATGCTCCAGAAAAGAAAAAGACTCTTTCAAGCACAATTTATCCTTAGCAGAAAGTCTTTCTTTTCAGAGCACAGGATCCTAGCAAGGATATAAAACTGTTAAAAAAAAAAAAAAAAAAGTACACATCCTCACTTGGTGTGTTGCTCTGCAGAGGGGTCTCCAAGGGGCGAGTCAGAAGGTAGAAGTGTTCGCAGGCATGTACCGGGATACTAACCGGCTCCTCGTTGGACAGACCCAGCTCGTATGCCCACTAAAAATGGACAATTTGTGGGTGGAAAGAGGAACAGAAACACAAATGAGCAAGTTCAGCCCCTTGAAAACAGTTTAATTTCAAGTGGCTTTGTGTGCTCTTGCTACAGTGTAACACGCCAAGTTTCAGCCTGCTTACTGAGTTCAAGTATTTGGATGGGAGCAACTTTATGCTTTTTAAACTATAAAATTACCTTTCGATCAGAGGAAGATAGATTTACTAGCTCGTTAAAGGGGGCCCTTTTAGTACAACTACAAACTAATCACTAAATGAACTTCACAGGGCAAAACATATTTCCTCGTTCATTTTAAGATTATAGTGGAAGGCAAGTGACCAATCTCAGAAGTAGCAGCTTAGTGTCTAGAAAATGAATGCATAGTTCTGACACAACAGAACAAGCTAGCTAATATTTTATTTGTTAAGGTTGTAGAATGAAATGTAACACCATAGAAAAACCCAGCACCAAGGATTCATGTCAATGCCTGATGGTTTGCTGGTCTTCCTAATGAGGATGGCACCAATTTACCCAGTGTGGAGGAAGGAAAGGTCACGTATGCTTCTATCTGAGGAATAACTATAGGTTTCTGATTTGGAATTCATGATTCTAAATTTCCAAGCCCAAACAAGAAACAGTGTAGTACCTTGTATCTCTTCTTAATCAGTCACAATATTAATCTTACATCAATAAACCATGTACACAAAATCCAAGTAAAATAAAATCAGCAGTCTAGTATTGTTGTTAACCTACCTGACCAGCACAGTTGACAAAATACTGGCACTCAATCTGTCCTTTATCTGTCTCCACACCAGTAACTTGGCCTTTTTTGACCATTACATGAAGAACAGTTGTCCGGTCATAAATCTGAATGCCTAAGACAAGGGAAAGAAAGAATGCTGCATTGTCTGATGCTCCAGTATTAAAGCTTCTGCAGCAGATTCTCCACCCAAAAGAGATCCTGAGAAGGTTGAGTTACCGCTTTAATTTAGAGACAAAACTCCCAGGAACCACAACATGAGAGTGTAACTGGGTCTTGCCCAAGACTGAAAATAGTAAGCCAATTTAAAACCAGACTTAAGTAAACAATAACTAAATACTGGCAATCATAAATATGAGGCAGGGGCAGAATTCAAATAGGGCATCTTAAATCCTCGTCTACCCACATAATGAATCAGATTATCCAAAGTATGTAACACCTTGGACACTAGTAAGTCTTCCACTCATTCATTCCAACTCTGGCTCATAATTTAAGCTGTGGATTGAATTCCCAAGATGTGTTCTAACCTTGGATCTTCTCAAGTTGGGGGAAGAGGGAGATGGAGGATTCCCTTAAGTCTGAAATGTATTAGCACTAAAAGCAGTTCTTTAGAACTTTAACTTTTTACTTTAAAATGCAGTCCTGAGGGAAAATACTCATTAACAGATACTATGTTTAAAAATATGGTGCAGGGTTCAAAAATGTGAAGCTGAATACCCCAATGAGGATACATTCCCCAAACTTGAGTTGATGCTGTTGTCTACTTTGAGACCCTTTCTTAGATAAACTTTTTCTCCCAAACCTCGATTAAAAAATGCAAAAGCCCACTCACCATTCTGGGAGGCAGCGTTTGCCAGGGCAAGAGCCACATCAGCAGAGGACACCACTGCATCCTCAGGAACGTGCATGGCTCCCACCAGGTCATGCACATTGAGGAGAGGATGAAGTTCAGCCACTTTCTTGGGGGAGATGATCTCAGAAGGGATGCCTATAACACTGCCACAGAACATAAGGGGACAATGACATTCACAGGCCCTTTGGCAGAAGTCAGTTTGGTAAAGTCAGGATAGGCTTCTAGCTCTTACATACTTCAGCCTTGAGTTGATGCGCTTCAGGGAGATCAGCCGGTCCTGCGTTTGGGCCAGAGAGATTGAGCCAGTCCTGATGTAACCTGTAAAACAAAATCAGCCAAACTGAGCAGTCTAGTAGGATCCACTAGGTTATTAGATCAAAATGAGATTTTAATGTACATAAAATCACTTATAATAAAAGTGAAAGATACCATGGCTAACAAATCCTTTTAGGGCAGGGATGTAACCTGGAATCCATTCCTACTTTTTACTCCTTTGAGACAATTTCACTCTTCCTCCCTTCGGTAGGAGTGTGGTGAAAGTCATTCATAATATTAGCTACTAGAGGGTCAGGTCCTCCCTCTCCTTCCCCAGGACAGTCAAACAATGGGCTGTGTCCTAAGTGCAGCCAACCAGAACCTCCTGGAATACTTGGTCCTGAGAAAGTGGGTAAATGACTAAGGGTCTCTGGTATTGGGGCAGTAGTGTCCTGGCCAGCTCATTTCTTACTCCTACATCAAGGCCCCAAGGCTGTCTCCAACTAGTAGCCTTCTGCTGACTCCACAAGGGCCTAACATCTTTTCAACATGCACTTCTCTTCCCAAGTTAGAGTCAGTTTGTTGTTTGGGATCAACACACTTGACATATAATAACTACTTGTGTTGATGACAGGTCTAAAATGTACTGAATGGTCTGTCATTCTTATGAAAAAATGATGAGTTCATCCGTTATCTTTTTTTTAAATTTAATTAATTATTTATTTTTAAATTATTCATATGTGCATACAATGCTTGGGTCATCTCTCCCCCCTGCCCCCCACCCCCTCCCTTAACCACCCACCCTGCCCCCTCACTACCTGGCAGAAACTATTTTGCCCTTATCTCTAATTTTGTTGAAGAGAGAGTATAAGCAATAATAGGAAGGAACAAGGGTTTTTGCTGGTTGAGATAAGGATAGCTATACAGGGAGTTGACTCACATTAATTTCCTGTGCGTGTGTGTTACCTTCTAGGTTAATTCTTTTTGATCTAACCTTTTCTCTAGTTCCTGGTCCCCTTCTCCTATTGGCCTCAGTTGCTTTTAAGGTATCTGCTTTAGTTTCTCTGCGTTAAGGGCAACAAATGCTAGCTAGTTTTTTAGGTGTCTCACCTATCCTCATGTCTCTCTTGTGTGCTCTCGCTTTTATCTTGTGATCAAAGTTCAATCACCTTGTTGTGTTTGCCCTTGATCTAATGTCTGTCAGTTATCTTTTAAATATGAAGTACAGTAAGGGTAATTTAAAGTTTCCTACTGTCTCTTAAAATAACCAGATAAGTGTGTCCTTCGCTGACATGACCACAAGGTCCCAGTTTGGAGGAACTGGTATTTTAAAAACTGTTTTTCAAAAATAGTAAATATACCAGCCTCATGAAGTGATTTTGGCTAGTGATATGTGAGCTAGCTTACCACACTAAGAATTTCACCTGAAGATAAAGGGTTCAGCAGCTAGTTTCTGCTCAAACTAGAAGATTGCATAGAAGACCAGTTTTGGCACCTTACCTCATGTTATACTACGTTAAACCATATTCCTAAAATAGAACTACACACCGTAACTCAATACAGTAATTATTAACAAAATTATTTCCACTATTTTCCCACAGAAGACTTTTAAGATTTGGACTACAGCAATTCTGACATATAATTTATTTTGTCAAATGTAGAGAACCATAAAAGAAAACTCTTATAAGGAAAAAAGACATATAATATTAAAGGCAGTTTGAAGAATGTAAATGGCCAGTAAGCCTATGAAATGAAAATTTAACTGAATCACTATTTATAGCGGCAAGAAGTGAGAGTGTCCCAGTAAATGTCAGGCAATGGGAAATGGGTGTGCAAGCTATGGAAGGACATACTATGAAACACTGCTCTGCGGCTATGAATAGTGAAACAGACTTCTACATGCTACTTTAGAAAGCAGACTATCACATACTCTCATTTAACTATTATTAAAAATGTTAGCCAGGTGCTGGTGGCTCATGCCTAGGAGGATCATGGTTCAAGACCAGCCCATGCAAATAGTTCGTGAGACCCTATCTCAAAAACACCCATCACACACACAAAAAAAAAATAAATAAAAATAAGGGCTGGTGGAGTGGCTCAGGATATAGGTCCTGAGTGTAAGCCCCAGAATGTGGTACAGAGTACATGGTAGTAGGGCTGCCGGAGTGGCTCAAGAGGTAGAACACCTGCCTAGCAAACATAAGGCACTGAGTTCAAACCCAAGTACTGTGGAGGAAAAAAAAAAAGTACATAGTGAATTGTTAAACACAACAAAAGCTAATATAAAGGTTAGAGAAAGGGGAGATCCAGGTGGGCTGAACAGTATGGAATACATGCCTTCTGAAGTACTAATATATCAGGATATTTAAGCATGTGGATAGATTGAGAGAAGCTGATGTGCAGTTATTTAGTAACTTTGAAAGGATAAACCAAGCTGGGCATGGTGGTACATGCCTATAATCCTAGCACTCAGGAGGCTAAATTCCTAGGCTAAACTGGGCTATTCAGCAGGACTGTGTCTCAAAAAAACAAAACAAAACAAAAAAAACGGGGGGGATGGGGTTCAAGTGGTAAAACACCTGCCTAGCAAGCGTAAGCTTTGAGTTCAAACCCCTGCACCACCAACAAACCAACTAACCACCAGACTTTAGTGGCTCACACTCACAATGTAGCTGACTCAGGAAGCAGAGATTAGGAGGATCATAGTTCAAAGCCAGCCAGGGCAAACAGTTTGCAAGACTCTATCTCAAAATTACCCAACACAAAAGGGCTAGTGGAGTGGCTCAGCATGAAGCCCTTAGTTCAAACTCTAAGTACCATCAAAAAAGGACAAATTAACCAAACATATTTGGCCAGTTGGGCTGCAGATATAGCTCAATAAAGTGCTTCCCTAGCATACACGAGGCCCTGAGTTCATCTCCAACACAGCAAAAAAAAAAAAAATTTTGGCCAGTTAGATGAATACTATGACTCGTCAGTTAAATTTCAGTTTGATATAAGTCAATTGTTCTTAGTACTAGCTATACATTAGAATCACCTAAGAAGGTCTTTTCTTTTGATTTTTTTATTAGCAAATATTAATTGTACAAAGGGGTTTCACTGTGATACTGCCATACATGCATATAATGTATTTTGATCAAATGTGGCCCTTCTTTTACTCTTTATCTTGCTCCCCTTTTTAAACATTTTCATAACTCTTTTTTCATACATGTATATAAAGTACTTTGATCATATTCACCCTCCCACTTTACCCTCTCCTTTTGCCTTCCCCCACTCCTGTTGGTTCCCACACCTAAAGTCTCCAGTTTACACTCTAAATTCCACATATGAGAAAGAACATATATTTATCTTTCTTAGTCTGGCTTATTTTGCTAAGTATGATGATCTTCAGTTCCATTCAACTTCCAACAAATGACGTAATTTCATTCTTCTTTATGACTGAATAGTACCCCATTACATAAAGATAAATAATACATATACACCTATATATACACACATACACATATCCTTTTTCTTGATCCATTCACTTGTTGTGTATCTGGGCTGATTTCATAGTTAGACTACTGAGAATGGTGCTGTTATGACCATGGTGTGCAGGTATCTTTATTATATGCTGACTTACATTCCTTTGGACAGATGTCAGGAGTGGTACAGCAGGATCATGTGGTAGTTCTTTTAGTTTTTTTATTTTTGGTGATACTGGGGTTTGAACAGAGGGCTTTGCACTTGCAAAGCAGGTGTTCTATTGCTTGAGCCACACCTCCAATCCATTTTGCAACATAAAAAAATCAATAAACGTAGTATAGTATACCATATGTAAATAGGAATAATTTGACTTCTTCCTTTTCTGTTTCTGAAAAGGAAGAAGTCAAATTCTTAGCCCAAGCCTTATTGCTTGGGCTAAGAATTCTAGCAACTATGCTGAGTAAGAGTGGAGAGTATGGATATCCTTGTCTTGCTCCTGACTTTAGAGGTAATGGTTTCAGTTTTTCCTCATTTAGGATAACCTGGCTACAGGTTTATTGTATATAGTCTTTATTATGTGGAGGTATACTCCTATTCCTAATTTCTTTGGTGCTTGATCATGAAGGGATATTGAATTCTGTCAAGGTTTTCTGCTTTTATGACATGACCATATGATTGTCCTTGATTCTGTTTATGTGCTGTACTATGTTTACTGACTTGCTTGTGTCGTACCATCCTTGCATTCCTGGAATAAAACCAACTTGATGATAGTGTATGATCTCTTTAACATGTTGTTGAATTCAGTATGAAAGGTGTTTTTTTTTATTCCCCTGTGTTCTTATTTGGCTTTTTTTTTTTTCTTTAATCACTGTAATACCGGCTTCATAGGATGAGTCTGGTAGTGTTACTTTTCTTTCTATTTTATGGAATAGTTTGAGAAGCATTGGTGTTAATCCTTCTTTAAAGGTATGGCAGAATTCAGTAGTGAATTCATCTGATCCTGGACTTTTCTTTGTTGAGAGACTATTACTGCTTCAGTTTCACTGCTTGTTATAGATCTGTTTAGTATCTTCTTGGGTCAATTTTGGTAGATCATATGGATCTAGAAGTTTATACATTTCTTCTAGATTTTACAGTCTATTTGAATATAGATTTTCAAAGTATTCACTAAAGATCTTTTGAATTTCTTTTGGTATTTGTTGGGCTATCTCCTTTCTCATCTCTCATTTTTTTAATTTGGGTCTTCTCCCTCTTTCTTTTGGCTAATTTGGGTAAGGGTTTGTCAACTCTATCTTTTCAAAGCACCAACTTCTTTCATTGATTCTTTATATTGTTCTCAGTCTCCATTTTGTTAATTTCTGCCCTGAGCTTTATTATTTCTTTCCATGTACTATTTTTGGGTTTGGCTTATTCTTGTTTTTCTGAAAGCTGAAGATATATCATTAAATTTTTAAAATATAGACACTCATAGCTATGCACTTGGCCTCTTAGCACTGCCTTTACTATGTTCTAAAGGTTCTGGTAAGTTGTGTTTTCATTTTCATTTGATTCTAGGAATTTTTTAAAATTTGTTTTCTCTTTGAATTCATTGAGGTGTT